AATCATAAATAAAGGTTGGTATCAGGATCAATGCTTGTAATTATAAGATTAGTAGTGAATCTAAAGTTAGAATAAGTATAAAACAAAGTAAATTGTCTAAGCTAAAAAATACACCTGAATTATTTTAACAAATGTAAAATAATGAGCTAAGGTATTTTTTTTTTTTAAGCTAAATAAAGGAGACAATATAAAAGGGACTAAATACACATAGAGTGATGTATCAAATAATGGAGCTTGGGAATATGCAAGTAGGTAAGGTAACATAAAGGTAATTTTTTAAAGTAGAATTATAGTATAAAAATATAATATAAAAGGACTAATATAGGTTGTGGTACAATAGAGTGGTAAATCAAATAAATGAGCTTTGGAATAAAAGGCAAAATTGTGAACTTATTCTTCTTTCCACCTGAGAAGAGCACCTAGATTATTTTAAACAATTGTGACTATATAAACCTAGGTAGTTATATAAAGCTAAAATAAAGGAGAAAATATATAAGGGACATAAAATTTAAGTAATGGTAAACATATTTAAATGGACAGATGGTAGGAATTATAATATAAAATTAAATATAAAAATACAATTTGAAATGGTACTTGCAATTGCACAAGATTCTGGTATAGGTTTTTGACAAGATCAAGATTATAAGAGACATTAAAATTTGCCAAAAATAAAATTCACATTAAAGTACCAAAAGAATAATAGTAAAAAAAATAACAATGGTAAATTCTTGGTTTAAATAATATAGTAAGATGGTAGAAAGGTACCCAGGTACCCATGTACACAGGAACACAAGGATAATATAAAGGTTGGGTTGAATATCCAAACTTGAAAATTTGGCTACAAATGTATGGGAAGTATAAAAAATGTTTAATGTACAAAGTAAAATTGACGGTAGTAAAATGGTGTTTTAATAAAATTTTAGTAAGTAATAATGAAAACAAAAAGTGAAAAAGTAATGTTTATTTCATTCAAATATTGCACTGTAGTTATACATGAGGATATATGGCAGTACAAGGTAATTAAGAGTAAATCAGGCTAGAAAATGTGGTAATTAAAACAGGTAAAGGTAATTAGACAAGTAATGTTCTTACATGTCAAAAATGTTAAGAGTAAATGAAATTTTAGTAAAAATGAAAATTATTAATTTAGTAAGAATACAATTGATAGTATTAAACAAATGTGAGGTAGTAATATGGACAGAGAAAGTTATCAATTCACTAAAGTTTAAGCGAAAAATATAATAACAAAATCCATAAGGTGACTTCTCTTATAGTAAAATCACAAAAAGAGGTTTGATTATTTAATTACTAAGAGATTGTACAATGAATTAACAATAATGGAGCATAACATACTCTCCACTATGTAGGCTTTTAAGTTGGACATGATTAATTATTCTCTGTAAGATTATATCCCTAGAAATCGTGATAGATCATTCTCGTTCCTGATTGTGTACAGTTGACCTACATTTTGTTTCCTAACAAGAATTTTCCCAACCGTGTGAAGGAAAAAAATTGTGTATTGTCGATTATTCTTCCCGCTTAAGTTTTCTGACTCTATACAGAGGTTCTGACGTTTTTTTTGGTAAACACTCCGTTTTATGTATACCTCCTTCTTTACTTTAATAGATGCAATAATTAAGCTATTTTCCTGACATGTGAGTGGAATCTAAGCATATGATTCGTAATATTTCTGAAATCAGTGAAGCATATTTTATTGATTATAATGATTTCAAAAAAATATAATGAAATGTGATTTCACTCACAGTTATTTACTGTCTCAGATATTAGCGAAACATTGATTTATTTATGACAAACAAGATAGACATTAAAAAATACGCATTTGAACTCAGTAATCGATATTTGAATCGTATACTGAGTAAAACTACCAAATAAAGCAAAGATAAATTTGTCATAGTCTTTAAAATTATTTTATTTTTTAATTCGCCGGTATTCTCCCGGCCCGGTCGTTTTCCAGGTAGTGGTGACCCGGCCCTTGGCTCCCTGTCTGGGAGGTGTCCTCGAGACTTAATCTCCCATGGGAGGAGGTACAAGTACCCCTCATCTTTGGGACCCAAGGTCCCCAGGCCTAGCCACGTCCCCGCCCTCATGGGGCCGTAGGGACAAGCTTAGGCCTCTGGTCTTCATCTGCCCCGCCTCAAAGGGGCTCGTTGGGATTGCATCAGTTTAAAAAAAATTAGTCTTTAAAATTACTGATAAAAAACATATACAAAAAAAATAAGAATAAAATAGTGAAAGCTCTAATTATACTTTTTGTCCAATTCATTAAAACTGAATAAGTTTGGCCGAAGTGTAAGTTTGTAATGTTTTCAAAAATCTTTTAAACACTATAATAAGAGTATTATTTAATTAATAGTTCGATTTTCTTAATCCTTAACATATTTGGTAAAGTTGTGGGAACACTCACTGGGGACCACACAGCACATAAATTGTAGAGACATAACATTAATCTCCTGAAAATCGTATCATAATCTCCTGAGAATCTGCATCATAATCTGGAAATCCGTATAATAATCTCCTGATAACCGTATCATACTAGTGAGAAATCCGTAACATAATCCTAGTGAGGAAATCCGTATCATAATCTCCTGAGAAATCTGTATCCATAATCTGAGAAATCCGTACATAATCTCCTGAGAATTCCGTATCATAATCTGAGAAATGTCGATAGTATATCCTGGAAATCCCTATTGTTTAAGAATCCTCTCGAGTATGAACGTATATTATTATAAAATTTAAAGAGAAGTGCGCGTAAGGTTGAATTAAAATAAATTTAATTGAAAAGTGAGAGAATTTCTGACTCGTCCATTGTTCGGGAACATGAAACTTACTTCATATGTTGACATATAATTGAAATTCTATAATAAGCACATTTATCAACAAAAATAATCCGAGTTATTTAAATTTTTTACAATACTTACCAGTTTTGAGAAAGTATTATTATTCAGTTTCGTATGAGAGATTCCGTGATGAGTCAAGTTGTGATATAGAAGAATTGTGTAGTAGTAGTAATGGATGGAAGCGTAACTTGAAGAGCAGCTGTCTACAACACAAACGCTGGTATTCTATAATAATGGTATATTTGATGTCACAAATGAATGCCACAGAGGCCAGTCTCTGGGGCCTCATTCTGTTCTTCATTTATCAAACACATTGATATATAATTTGTAACGCTAAACAGGACTAAATTCTCTGATGATAAAACTAATGAGTTTAAGTTACAAGTGAACTGTATCATCGAGGATAGTGAGAGACTAAAGAACTTAATAAACTGTAAATAATACACGTAGAAGAAATAACCAAATCTGCTAGTCAAAGTGAATGGAATTTAAAATAAATTTGAAAATGCCGTTTATATTAAAACACAGTTTTTTAAATAAGACAAATGAATAAAAAAAAAACACATGGAGCAATAATGGCAATATTTCAGGCCAGAGAATAGCGTTTTAAAGGAAAATAAATATATAATTGATCCTTAGCATTATGGAATAACAGAGAAGTATTAACCCGGAATGTTTGTGCTCACGTTACATAAGTCTTTGTTTCATTAATAATCTTCAATATTTTTTATGTGCATTTTGTCCCTAATAAATATAAATATTGAGAAACCTAACAAGGGATACAGTTAGTATTATTATAGTGCCATTTATCCTTCTCTAATAAGGTCATAAATTACTAGATGAAAGAGGATAAACCATATTTAAAGATGGAAAAGTATAACACAGATCAGGCAGAGCATATGGGCAGACAAGCTTGTTATTACGCAAGATGAAGTTTTATATCGAACACTTTACCGCAACCACAACTGTACTGACGGAGGATAGAGGCCGCCAGATCCTTCGCAGGTGTGTTACAAGTGTAGTACTTGTTACACTTACACTCAGGGTAGGCATACACTCCTACAGTTTATATTACACACATGCAGCCTCACAGCTAGGCGTGGTAGTGGTGGTGGTCGTTGGAGTGGTGTGGTGGTAGTTGGAGTGGTGGTGTAGTTGGAGTGGTTGGTGGTTGTTGGAGTGGTGGTGGTGGTGTATTGGAGTGGAGGTGTGGTAGTTGAGTGTGGTGGTGTTGGAGTGTTGGTGGTAGTTGGATGGTGTGGTGGTAGTTGGATGGTAGTGGTAGTTGGAGTGGTGTGGTAGTTGGAGTGGTGTTGTAGTTGGGAGGGTGGTGTAGTTGGAGTGGTGGTGGGTGGTGGAGTGTGGTGTGGTTGAGTGGAGGTGGTTGGTGTAGTTGGAGTGGGGTGGTGTGGTAGTTTGGAGTGGTAGTGGATTTGGAGTGGTGGTGGTAGTGGAGTGGTGTGGTAGTGGGAGTGGTGGTGTATTGGAGTGGTGGTGGTAGTTGGAGTGGTGGGTGCGGTTGGAGTGGTGGTGGTGGTGGTAGTTGGAGTGGTGGTGTGTAGTTGGAGTGGGGTGGGGTTGGAGTGGTGTGGTAGTTGGATGGTGGTGTAGTTGGAGTGGTGGAGGTGGTGGTGTAGTTGGAGTAGGTGGTGGTGGTGGTGGTAGGAATGGTTTCTGGATTAGGGGTTGTGGTAGTCAATTTATTTCCGTTTATATCAACGCCTGCACAAAGAGGGACGGTGTTAGGGGCTACGCAGAAGCCAGCTTCACCAGTTACTTCGTCTACTATCATATAACCCATGCCAGTACACTTGTGATCCCCAGGACACTGACCGCTGGTTGGCGTGGTGGTTGCAGTAGGAGTGGTAGTTTTAGATGTGGTGATGGTGGTAGTGGTGATAGGACTGGTGGTGGCGGCAGTTGTAGTTGTGGTAATGGGAATTTCTTCTGGATCTGAGGCCTTGGTGGTCAATAAATTTCCGTTTATATCAACGCCTGCACAAAGAGGGACGGTGTTAGGGGCTACGCAGAAGCCAGCTTCACCAGTTACTTCGTCTACGATCATATAACCTATGCCAGTACACTTGTGATCCCCAGAACACGGACCGCTGGTTGGCGTGGTGGTTGCATTGGAGTGTATTTTTAAGATGTGGTGATGGTGGTAGTGGTGATAGGACTGGTGGTGGCGGCAGTTGTAGTTGTGGTAATGGGAATTTCTTCTGGATCTGAGGCCTTGGTGGTCAATAAATTTCCGTTTATATCAACGCCTGCACAAAGAGGGACGGTGTTAGGGGCTACGCAGAAGCCAGCTTCACCAGTTACTTCGTCTACGATCATATAACCTATGCCAGTACACTTGTGATCCCCAGAACACGGACCGCTGGTTGGCGTGGTGGTTGCAGTAGGAGTGGTAGTTTTAGATGTGGTGATGGTGGTAGTGGTGATAGGACTGGTGGTGGCGGCAGTTGTAGTTGTGGTAATGGGAATTTCTTCTGGGTTTGAGGCCTTGGTAGTCAATTTATTTCCGTTCATATCAACGCCTGCACAAATAGGGGCGGCGTTGAGGGTTACGCAATAGCCAGCTTCACCAGTTACTTCATCTACTATCATATAACCCATGTGAGTACACTTGTGATCCCCAGGACACGGCTCACCTCTGTAAGTGGAAATAAAGTTTGAAAATAAACAAAGCCAGCAACTTGTAGACTCATACAGTAATTAGCGGACCATTGTCAAGATGTTTTTCAATCGCTGCAGTATGAGAGAGATAAATATATTTCGTATCACATAACTCCTCCCTCTGTAATTTAAAGCATGCTAGATGTGTAATAGATGTACCTGAACTTTCTCAAGCGACGTAGGAACAATAAGTCAACCTTTCTTGCCTAAGAGGTCTAGAAATTAGTGATCATCTGTCTCAAGAGGTCCAGTACCATTATTCCTTTCAGAACCTTTAGTCCTTGAGCCAAGAGACTCAAGAGCAGCTTATTAACATTTTTAAGTGGCCTAGGAGCTACAGTTCAACCTAGTCGGTCATTGTGAAAATTCGTAATGAGTCAAAGATAACTATGCATTTCCATGTCCAAGGAGCTTCAGACTTATTCGGTAACCTTGTCAGAAGGTGAGTTCTCTTTATTTTACACAACTCACTAATTCCTTTTGTTTAACTTATAAGAATAGAAAATAAACAACTGCACAGCCTAAATCTATACTAATTCAACTTTTGTGTTTGGTGCATCAGTGTTGTCTGCTTGAACTATTTGAACCCGTTCAATAAACCATCTAATTCATACTCGCAAAATCACAAATGGGACTTAAGGTATTAGTACTTTTCAATTCGAAAACTGTATTATCAGGGCTCAGGGGTGAAATCTGAAGGGGCGAGAAATTGCTGATGGTGGCTAATCGGTGGTTGAACATCTTGTCTCATGCTTACATTTACTCAGACAGTTTAATGGGTATTGTATCTGCCGTGTGTGCTGTGGGTATATAGTATCTGGAGTCGGTATTCATCTGAAGTTTCAGTCGCTAGTGTTAAGCACTTGAATCGATTATTGTATATTGCTCAGTCGGTTAAAGTAATCCTCGATTCAGGTGTCAATGAGTCTAATGAGTAGTTGGACAGACCTTCAGACACGATCGTAAATTTACGTTTCGTAGGACACGATTATGATTTGACAGAATGTATTGTGTTATGTTCAGTATAAACTGCGTCCGATGTCCTTGTAATTGTTCATTTATGATTTATTAGTTTGACGATTGTATAGAGTCGTTTACTTCTCTTGTTGCGACTCATTGTCTACCGGTTATTTTAATAAGTGATGGACAGCAACTCTAACCATGTTAATACGTTTGCTTGGACCGCCTCTGCCTCCTGCCTGTGACGTGTTCGATTATTGCTGATTTAGCAGCTCTATTTATGACTAAACTACGTGGCATGGATTTAGGCTTTCGGAGACAGTTTGGCCTAAATGCAAATTTATTTGTGTAGCAGAATGTATCAATATCTAATAGAGTTCTCTTCCATAACCTAATTTCTTAAGAAAACATTATTTTTTTTTTAATTTCATGACTCAACTTACTGAGTGCGTAAAGAGGTTGTTGTGTAATTGTTTTAGCCCCCTGCGGCAAAATTTGTGTAAATCACCTGAACGATTAAACAGATACTGAGAAAGATACACACTGAGTCGAGGAGAGGACGTCGCGCGAGAGGACGACGGCGTGTTCACTCTGAACACTGAGACTCAACAGAACATTTTTGGGTTATTCTGATAATTCGATGATGAGAGCTGAGAGAAACTTACTTGCATGTCACTTCGAGCCCCATCCCCACAAGAAGGGTAAGGTGGTGACTAGCTTGTAGGTTCCTCCTTCCCTTCACCACATCACCCTACCACATCCTAACCCCTTACAATACCCTAACCACTACACTGTCCTAACCACGCACACACTACACTGCTATCCTTCTACCTTTCCTGTATCCTTTTTCAGCAACTCCTTCTCTGGCGAATTAAAACAAGGCAAGGTGACCATTCAATAGCCCGTGCGGTATTACTCTGGCGGCCTGGCCGATCATTGCCTTGGGCCGTACCCCTCACTCTTCGAGGGTAAACTATGTTAGGGGTTGACCTTCCTAAGTCAGCTGAAGTAGGAATGTTCTTTTTTTTTACAGCATATCTTATGTGTCAGCTGTACCTTTGCTGGGAAACATGCCGAAGATAAGAGTAAGAATTCGGGTCACTGATAACCAGAAGTCCAAGAGGGACATACTAGACTGTACACAAATAACCCGCACATAGAAGAGAGGAGCTTACGACGACGCAAATGGTACAAGTCGGACCGAAACGTCGTCGTAAGCTCCTCTCTTCAGTGTGCGGGTTATTTGTGTATCGTTCCAGTCACGGCATTGTGCCTTTTTTTGTTATTTATACTAGACTGTATTCGTTCTAATACCACTGTTGTACCTGTGAATGCATTCCAAACTTACTCTGGTGCAGTACTTCTACTCTCCTCTGAAGAGGAACTATTTCAGTTACTCAACAATGTTCTAGAAGTTGTACATGAATGGTATACAATACCGTTAGTATAAAAGCGCCAGGGTCGTTGCTTCTGCTTCAGAATCTCCACGACTACGGTGCTCTTCGCACCAACTCCAAGGTTGAGGGACTGATTACCTCATCTTCTACATGTGTCTTAATTTCATCAATGTTCTACAAAAACTACACAATGTGGGTATCATCCTCATTCCACCAGACAGCTACCAGGCCAAGCCTACTGTATTGCACGTATCAACAGTTTCATGGGAGACTGTACTGCTGAAGAACTTGTTGAGAAAATTAGTCAAGAAAACCTCGAGTTCAAGGTTTTTAAGGCATATAAGTTTGCCAAGGTTCAAACAACCAACAAACACTAAAACTAATCCTAGAGACACCGGAAGGTGTCAAAATCATCCGTCAAAATGGAATGAAATCCTTAGAATCTCTATGGAAAGGTTTGTCAATGTTTCAAGTGCTATGAGTTCGCTCATAACAAATAAATGTAGCAGCCAAAAAATTATTTGCAGTGTTTGCTCTGGTGAGCATTTTTTCAGTGACTGCCCTAATAGAAATAACGCAAAGTGTGCCCTTTATAAAAGGAAACACCACGTTGTCTCCTAGCTGCCCTATCAGGAAATCTACAATCCAGCAAATTCTGGATGGTAAGAAACAGGCGAACTCTAAGAAAAATCACTCCCCAAGCACCACCCACAATGTTCCAGGACTCTTTCCCTAATGTACCTGGTACTGGTGGGACTCCTACAGCCACCTCTTCCTCTGTTTGGATTTCTGCCCCTCCTGCAGCCCCCACCCCAACCCCAACATGCACTAAGCTTAAGGACCATCATCAAACCCTATGCCCCCCTGGTCCTTAAATGTAGACGTTATGAGAGAGACCCTGATGATGTTGGTCAGGGAGATCGCAGGTAGCAATGTCAAGCTCAGCTCATCTGTTCTAAATGACCTGTTAGTAGCAAATGGAGCCAGGCCCTTTATAATCCCAGATAATGTGAATTTATTAATGAGTGAGCCGTCTCAAGCCAGGAAGTATGTGCCCTCCCCAGCAACCACACCTGTTCAAACCTCATCACACAGTCAGGGTCCACCTGTTGTGGAAGACCCAATTGAAACAACAATTCAGACCAGTGAGGCAATAACTGCCCCTGAACTTGCACCAGACACTGATGGACAATCTACCGCTGAGGAGGCTGACCCAAACGTCCAGTTAGTTTCCAACGATACCCAGAGTGGAGTAATTTCTGAAAATCAAACTCAAATTGGTCTTGTACCCTTACACACTGAGTCCCCACTGTCTCCTTTCATCAGTGGTATGAATATGCCGACTGAGGTTGTGAATGAAGATGCAGTATGCATTGTGAACGAGGCATTTGACATGCCCCAGCTATCAGACACATCAGTTAATATCACCAACACCAGCAGCAGTGACGAGGATAAAATATCCGGTGCACAGAAAACCACTCAGGACTACAGCCCTTTCCTTGACGAGTCGGGTAGGGAGAGCTTGCACACACCTTGCAGCTATAATCTCAGACACCAACTCTCTGTAGGCAGCAAAAACACAAATTACACGAAATAATGGTAGTGAGCAATTTCAGTACTTTTTAAAAAGTAAATACTGAAAAAAGTTACTTAAGTACAGTGCTCAGTTAGTTTTACTTCGTTACTTTACAACACTGGTCCTTATACTCTAGTATAAGTCTTAAAAGTAAAATTAAAAGACCAAAAAACTAAATCGAATCTGAATTCATTTGAAAAAGTTAGCGGTTAGCATTTAGCGTTATCTTCCACAATTTTTTTCGACCGTTTAGTGGTTTAGCATTACCGGAGCTAATTTTTTAGTTAGCGGATTAGCGAAGCTAACTTTTCGGTTAGCTGTACCCATCACTGCACAACACTGACCCCTGTGGAACACTGCATGTGACGTGCCCTCATTCTGATTTCTCCCCATTTTTGCAAATTTTCTGCTACCTATTTGTCAACCATGCTTCTACTCGGGAAAAAATTCTCCTTTTCCGTGTGCCTTAAGTTTCCTCAATAGCCTCTGATGTGGAACTCTATCGAAAACCTTACTGAAGTCCATATACAAAATATCATATTCAATTCCATGATCTACCTCCTCCAATACCTTAGTGAAAAAAGTTAGTAAATTCGTAAGACAGGAACGACCCTTTGTAAAACCGTGCAAAGATTCATTAATCAATTTATGCCTTTCAAGATGGTTACGAATTGCCTCGACAATTATTGATTCCATAAATTTTCTCACTATGAAGGTAAGCTTATTGGTCTATGTCGAAGCTAAGGAACCAGCTGCATCAAATACCTTAACACAGACTCTGGATAATTTTTTCAAACATACTAATACCAAGAAAGGGTACCCCAACAGTTTCAACTAGTAAAGTGTATCTCATGACTTTCATGCAAAAAGAACTAACAGGTTTAAACCCAACTAAGAGCACAGGCCCTGATACATCCGTCTAAGTCTTAAAAGGATGAGGCTTCTGAACTGTCCAATCCCCTATTGCTCACATTAATAAATCTTATCAATCACCACTAATACCTACCGGAGGGGTACAAGGAGGCCAGAATTACTCCTACTTCA